GGCCTGCATGTGAGGGGTCTGGTGACCCAGTCCGTACAATGGGTTTGAAGGGTCTGAGCCCTAGCCCTGCCAATACAAATGGAAACTTAGTATAACTAAAATAATGAAACATTTTGGCTTCAGTTATGATTTGACAACTGGTGTAGTTGTGCAGCTTTGCAAGGGGCCTCCTATTTCATATGCTTCTGTCGGGTCCAAGCTCCTCCACATTGGATCAGATCAACTCCATCCCTTACATCAGGTCTCTGCACAACACGGCCCCTCACAGGTGACTTCCACTAGCATTAGAGACCCTTAGTCCACAGGCCTCTGCAGGTATTCGCCACCTGTGAGTACTGTAAGGCACTGACTACAGCCCTGGAAACAGTGTCCCAGGCCACCAGGAGGGCACGGCATGTGAATGGACAACCTCAGGCCATCCCATCTCATCACCAAGAAAGACATTCAATCATGACCCTGGAGAGACAGGATGAGGGCAAGAACTCACCTATTCTGAAGAAAAATCCCTGCTCTTTCTTGCAAAAGTGGAGACAAGAAAGAAATAAACTCCTGGGGAAATGTACATGAAAGAACATTCTGATGAAATGCCCTCCACTTCGGCAAGAGCACAGGACCAGTGACTCAGGGCCACTCTAGAAAAGCCAATTGGTAACACTTGCTTTTGGAATTCCAACAATGGCTCGATGCCATCTAATCTTGAGTCACACGGCAGGTGTTTCTTCTGAATCCTGCAGGTCCCCTCTCCACTGCCGTTGCAACGGTGCCATACAGTCAGACAAATACACATTTCATGAACAGCAGCATATTAACAGCTCCACTACGAAAGACACAGCAACCTTTGAGAAAGTAAGCTATATCTGCATCACACATTCAAAACACTAAAGTTATATAAAAACAGAAAACCCTGATGTCTTCCCTTCACTCCATTAGGCGTGCACATCTGCTGTAAAAGTGGAGGCAATTTAAGCCCTTGTTGATGTGACTAATAAGTTAGATAATTGGATTGTGTTGGATTAAACAGCAGCCAACCATCCCCGTCCCAGAGGATCTCGCTGAAGAGGCGGGCAGGGTGGGCTGCAGTACAAGTGCCCACCCGGTCTATATTCACCAAAACCCACTGCAAGGAACGGGGGCCATGCCTTGGGCTGCAGAAGTCCAGCCGACAGAGGACGCATTGAACCAAGAGCCGAAAGGAGCTCACAAGGATAGAGCAAGTCACGAGACCCATGCTGCGGTCCCGGAGAGCTCCGGCCTAGAGCAGAGTGACAGAGAGAAGGGCGGACACTGGGGATGAGACAGAGGAAGGGCTGAGCTTCTCCACTGAATGTTGCGGAGGCCCGCAGAGTGGGCAAAGGCCAGGCCAGTGTAACCTGCACTCAGAAAGCCAAGTGACAAGCAGAATGGCAGAAAGGGGCCGATGGGGAAGCTGCCGGTTTGGGAAAGGCAATAATCTTGGCATTTCACCTGGGGGCTGAGGGAGGCCAATAAAAACAAAAGTTTTTAGATATTACCACGAGAAAGAAAATTGATGTTTTCCCAATTCTCAGGAAATGATTAATACAGAGAGAGCTGCTTTTCTTTTTTTTCCCAATAGGTTTTAGTTTTTCTGCCTTCATTTTTTAAGCCTTTGGTGTACGCTGTCACTTGTCTGCAGAGGCCCCACACAAATGAATGAAGAGCCAGTGACTATTAACAGAAACTTCGAGCCACTGACCATGCTCAGCCCGAGAGTGGGTTCTTGGGTCTTCCTGCTTGTGCTTTTATTTGCACACATCCAAGCAAGGCATGTTTCATGCTAGTGACACTGTTTGTAGTTTATGAGATGGAATTAAATGTGCATAACTACTCCATGGTATCACTCAAAACAGTTTGGTTTCTGGAAAGATGACAGCAGATACTGGGCAGACTTTGAAGTCCTGGGGGGTGGTGAGTGTTTTGGATGCAGACAAAAGTCCCCATGGCTCTCATTAACTTCCTACCATTGACCAGCAAACCTGGGGCCCCTGTAAATTTCTGGGGCACTTCCTCAGAAAATTGTTGTCAACCATTTTAAAGCTACAATAAGCCAGCAATGAGACAAAAGAATGTAAGGAAGACAGAAAAACTTCAGAAACAAACTCTCATTCATCTTGATTCCAATTGCCCTTGACCTTATTTTGGACCAAAGATGGCTTAAAAAAATGACAAATGATATGTTTTAAAGGCTTTGGATCTTAGTTGTCTGTGCTAGTGACATTTATCTGTATAAATACATGTTCCCCCTTTGCCTGATTCTTTAATTTAATAGCAGTTTTTCACAAAGTCTGTCTATGGGCATGATTCATATAAAATTTAAACAGTAGATGAATTTTCTGCCTAGGAAAAAGCATTTTAAATGATAGTTTTTAGTTCCGGTGAATTGGCAGTGAAATTGGGACCATGATTTAGTGCCATTGGCGATGGAGATGGGTCAAGTCTTAAGGCCATCATATCCAACAATTTGGCAATAATGTCAAAAGTTACAAAAATATTTTGAATCATTAATTGCATTTTTGAGAATGTATACCAGGAACACTTTCAAAATAACTTCAAGCTATAGGCATGAATGTGTTCATGTACAGCTTTTGCTAGTAGTGAAAATCTGCAAACAAGCTAAATGCCCAGCTATAGGAGATGGGGAGGTAAAAGTCAACTCATCGCATGAAATGTTATGCAATTGTTAATATCACAGTTGTCATCAAGGAAAATTCTCTGATACATCGTCAAACAGAAAGAACATTAAAAAATGTACACATTGGGGCTGGCCCGTGGCTCACTCGGGCGAGTGTGGTGCTGACAACACCAAGGCCCCGGGTTTGGATCCTATATAGGGATGGCCGGTTGGCTCACTGGTTGAGTGTGGTGCTGACAGCACCAAGCCAAGGGTTAAGATCCCCTTATCGGTCATCTTTAAAAAAAAAAAAAAAACTACACATAATGTTTACAACATGTTATTACATACGCACAAAGACTGATAGTGAACCAAACACAGCAGCTGTTCTTTTTAAAATATATTCTCTTTAATGTTGCAGAAAATAAATGTAAGGAGAGCTTCTGCCTCCATGGAAAAAAAGGAAAAAAAAAAAAAAAGTAGTGAAGGAGGAAGGAAGGCAGGACAGGGGACAGGAGGAGGCTCTGATACCCTCATTCCTGTCCAACTGACATTACATTGGAGAAAATCAAATAAAGTTCTCTTTACTATTCACTGTTGGAACAATATCAAAATAACACAGGGCTGGCCGGTTGGCTCACTTGGTTAGAGTGCAGTTTTGATAACGCCAAGGTCAAGGGTTCGGATCCCCTTACCAGCCAGCCGCCAAAACTAAAACAAAAACAAAAAACTCCAGGGTAAACAACCACCAGTCACCTTACCACAACTGCCTAGTGGATCAAGGTGCAAAAAAAATGACATCCTAGCCAGGTGGATGTCCTACCCTCTGCAATGGGTTTTGGAGCACAGTGGTGGCTGTGTGGGGATTAAGAAGTGCTGACTCCTCCAACAGTCAGACACTGCTCATTTCTCGTGCTCTCCCCCCAGCTTCAGGGGCCAACCCTAAAACATTGCCATGCTCAGGACTGTACACAAACGCTTGGCCCTGGCGGTCCTGCAGAAGCTGGGGACGCATCTTGCAGGCTGCCTCTGTGCTCCACTAAGACCAGATGATGCTGAGGTTCCAGCCTTGCAATACAGCAGTGACAACAGACATCTTTCATGTTGCCAGGCGCTGTGCTAAGGGCTTCATAGGTCTGATTTTGTGTCATTCTCCCAACACCACTTCCTAGTAGATTCTATTTTATACTAATGTTATACAACCCTGAATTAGAGGCTTACTTAAAGATGTTGAGTGATTTGCTCAAGGCAGTACCTGGCTAAGCCTGGGAGTCATGGTCTATCTAACTCAGCATTTAAACTGAACTCCTACTCCCGGGGTGGAGTTTTGGGTTTTCTTTGCATTTTGTTCCAGAAAAGAGCAAAATTATTCTTCATGGATATGGCTTTTGTGCAATAATGATGAAGACTGACCAATGAAAATCTACAAACTATTCTAACTCCCTTAAACAATAAAGTAGAAAGGTGGGAAGTAAAATCTACCCTTTAAATATTAGATTCCACTAAAATCACAGTACTTTGATGGGTGCAGTTTTGATTTCCTTTTGGTATAGGAACTTTTCTCAAAATTCCTCAAAAATCTATGTAAAATGCTTAGTGTATTTACTTACTTGAATTACTATAATATTTTTAAAAGGCAGCTTCCTATTTAGAGGACTCCTTGCTGTCGGGATCTTCTTGTGACTCCTGCAAAACATCGTGGCCAGTGCATGAAGGAGAAAGTCACCGTATGTGCGCGCGCATGCATGCACGTGTGTGGGCATGTGTGTCTCTGCACATGGATATGTATGTGTGAGTATGTGTACCACGCTTACTTATTTTCAGGAGATCCAGGGAAGGAAAATTTGTTCCTTCTCAAGTGTAAGTTATCCAGGGTTTGTCCTTCACGTTTTTACTGTGTGTTTTGAGCCCTTTACAGACACTTTCTCTGAGGAGTTTTCACCAGTTCCATTGCACAGGTAAAAGACTGAGACATACATTTAAAAGAATAAAGGCAAATGCTTTAGCTTTCAGAATCACACAACTCTGCAATAAGCAGCAAGTCTGAGAGAATACAATACAAAACATTTGATTAAACACTCTACAAATGCACATACCAAGGGCAAGGAGAAAGAGACTTTTATCCAGGGTTTAATGTGTAAGTAAATCCAGGTAAAAATAAGTAAAAGCTAAAAATTGAGAAGAGTTTTCCCTAACGATGAGCCCAAAGGACAATAAGCTTTTTCAATAAGGAAAATCACAGACTTCTTCTCTCTTAAGCTGTAGGGAATTACGTTTTCTATGTTTAACACCTTTAGCTCTGTCTTTCAAGGTTTTCAGCCTGTGCCCACACCTCCCCAGGCCACTCGCTCCACACACGCCATGTCCTTACCATTTGGAAGCTGCGGGTCGAGTGGAACTCACACTGCATCATATCAAAGAAGATAGGGATGGTGGCTTTGCGCAGTTCTGTCTCAGGAATTAATGTCATCTCTAATATCGGGCCGACCATTTCTGGAATGAACTTTATCTTGTGTTGACCTAAGAATAAAGAAATGCATCCTTCAGAAATAAAAATAGGATTCTAAAATGGGCTTAAGTGGATAAAACAAAACAACACAGATCATTGCGACTTTGAGCAGGAAGATCTTGGGAGTGTTCATTTATTTCACATCTGCAGGCAATGATTTTGAATGTTTCTAGCTTTTAGTATAAGAAGTGAACTGTATTCCAAATGTTATAAGCGAAGCTGCTCAAACATCCACCCAGTATAAGGCCTGCAGCATGACTTGTCTGTTACAGAAGATAAATGCTGTTTCACAAACAGTCGTATCACGTGGATTACAGATACGAGCAGCTCACTGGCACCCAGTTTTGGATGGAGCAGGGGCTGGTAGGTGGGAGACCCAGCATCTAAGTTTGTGGACAATCAGAGAACAGGAGTCGATAATGGGAGATACAGCAGATGGTCTCTCGGGTCCTTTATATCTCCTGCATCTTATGAAGAGTTTACCATTTGGCAACTCTGTAAACAACACAAGAGTGATTTCTGTAAAATTCCAAATGCTGACAGTCAAAGCAAATCAGAGCACAGGCATGGAGTATAAAATTATAAAAATGGGAACAATGCTACCTTCTTTGGCTACTGTTTGATAGGAAAATGCTTATTTGAAGGATTACATTATTAATCTTATCTCACCGATTTTGTCCAAATATAAATTTTGTTTTTTGGTAGCTGGCCAGTATAGGGATTGAACCCTGGACACTGGTGTTATCAGCACCACCCTCTAAGCAACTGAGCTAACTGGCCAGCCCCCAGATATAATTTTTTTAAATTCCAGAAAATGTTTCTCACAGGTTCTTCTCTAAGCAAACAATACTGGCGTCGTGAATAACGATGAATATTATAATATTAGCTAACATTCACTGAGCACTTACTGCATGACAAGCCTAGGAGAAAGCTTCATCTCACTGAATTTCCAATAACCTTGTGAGACGGTTATCTTCCTAACTCCATTCACAGATGAGAATGGGCCATTTCCAGGGCTGTTCAGTGAAAATGGATTTGAACTCAAGTCTGAGATTCTGTCGCCTCCACTGTGACCTTCATGTTACTGCTTCCTTCCCTGAGTGCCTGTCACAGGGTCTCCCCCACCCACCTCTCTACAATAGAAACAGCAAGAGCTGTCCACACCCCTTACTAGCCTGCTGCAGCTGTGAACCAGGCGCAGAGGCCGCAGACCTGTCATTTTATTCCGCATTGCTGGGATATTATAATAAATCCCCCAGAAAGCAGAGACTGGCTTCTTGTAAGCACCAAAACTCTCCCCCCGGCCTTTACTATTTCAACTGCTTTTGTTGAAAGTCTTGGTATTGTGTCTTCCTGGGCCTCTGTCCTTGACTTAGATACGTTGAATCACATCTGAAAATCCGACGCCTGAGCAGAGACACCAGCAGCTGGGCCTGACCTCCCTCCTGTGCTGGTTGTGGGTCTTGCTGCCAGTGGGCACCTCCCACCAGTGGACACGCCATACCCTTCGGACATGCTGCTTCTAAATTCCCAAGGACCAGGGTGACACAGGTCAGCCTATAAAGAGCTTCAAACAAACCAAGCAAGGTCTGAGTGGTGGCAGAGGAAGGACACCACAGCGACTGCTGTGTACTCCGCTGCCTAGATGCTGTGCCTCCAAAACAAAGCTGCTGGAAAACTCATGTCTGAAATAGGGGGAGTTAGCCTTATTTTAGGTGACATGATTAGATTTAGAGGCAGGTCCTACGAAGAAAGTGGTCCTGTAAAATCCTACCCTCTTGCCTTTAATTTCAGAAATCTTTGACTTATTTTCATGTCACCCCACTGTAATGAACATCGTTTCACTTCCAACACATAACAGAAGAATGCACAAGAAATTAAATGCTTGACATGTTAGTTTCTTAGCAGATTTTTTAAAATAACAAAGTCAAAATATGATTTCATTTTATGCTAAATTTTGAATAAAAGATTATTTACTGGAAAACATATTCTTATATAAAAATAAATGTGGACACATTATAGAATTAAAAAAATTAAATGCTTGAATGATTTGCAATATTTGTTGTTAATATTAACACCAGCAATTTCTCCAGAGTTAATCGTTCTTACTAATATCTTTACACAATCAGGAAATGGAATGGATATTTTAAAGAATTGCATTTTCTTTACAACCCAGCTAATACTGATTTCTGTCAAGGGAATCATTAAACAAATTTGGCTATTATAAATAACTATACTTAAGAAAATATATAATCCTCATAATTAGCCTAAATGCACTTTTACTGGGTGGACACATGCACAAAATGTAACCTACAATCAGAAATCTGAATATAATTAAAATCTCACTTTACTAAATAATTGATATTTGACTGAGGCCATAATAGCGTGTCTAATCACTTCTCCGAATGCTGAATGTTTCTGAAAGGCGTGTGAGCGCTGAGAAGCATTCTCTTGAAAACGCTGTTACATGCAGCCTCTCAGGTGACGCTTTCTTTATATTATGTCTAAAACACATCAGAGCCAATGTTTCAGAAAGCGGATGGCAGTGACAGCGAGTCGTTCATCAACCGCAATTTCAGTATCATCAAGTTCTGTCTGTCACCGGTGGTTTTTATGGTTCCAAGCTGGGAGGAACATACGAGGCGGAAGCAAGTGATTTTTGGAAAATAAGGCACAAAAACCCAGCAGTTTCTTGACCTTTGCTTACTACCCGGCCAAGCAGTGCAGAAAGCACACTGGCCTGGAGCCTGCCGAGTTCTACAGTGAGTGCCGTCCCTGTCCCTGGGGATTTAACCTTCACCAACCAAGCTCCCCAAGGTGAGCTGGGGTGAGCCGAGTTCTTCGGTACTCATCCTCTTTTCTTCTTTTGGAGCCAGCGTCATGGATCTGCCCTGGAGCGTGTCTTGCACAAATTTAATGATGAACTCAGGTTTGGAATCGGTGAGGATCAAGGAGACTCCTGTGGTGTAGACTTCAAGAAAAAGAGGATATGATTTTTTTGCCCCTTTTGAGACAAAGAAAGAGCAAGCTGATCATCAGGTGACCTTAGCAGTCTCTAAGTGACCACTCCCAAATCCTTTAAGACCCACCCGGAGTCTTTATTGTAGTCACAGAATGTGGAGCTGTGTCCCCTGGGAAGGAGAGCGTTTCTCAACAAGCCCTGCCCTCCCCAATCCGCAGGCTCCCTTGGGTGCTGGATCATCTCTTGACAATCATTAGTGTTCAGAAATCCAGGACATGAAACCTAGTTTTATATCAGGAAAATCTCTGCACTCACAAGAGCATACAGAGCCAAAAAATTCCACCATCCATACTGATGAGGCCACATGGTACACAGGTTTTAAGGTGAAGCACACAATTTTCCTGGTCCCCAAAAATACCCATGAAGGGAATCCCTGCACAAAAATGACGGCAAGCTGAGCTTGGCTGATAAAGATCTTGTGGCTCCGGTGGGCTGAGTGTAACAAACAAAATGTAAATTGAGGTGGTGAGGGTGAGAGGGAGATCAGGTGCCCCGGCAGGCTGCCTCACCGAGTACACTTTGATAAATAACTCAAGAGCTGGGCAAATAAGTACATTTTCCCCATTTTTCTTTTGAGAGAATCTGCTTTTGATTTTCCCTTTCAGACTCAAAATAAGACAGGTCTGTCTGGGATGGAAATAAAAAACCCAAAAAACAAACATCCTGCTCCGTCCCATGGGGCCCCCCGCTGTGTTTGCACGTGCATTAAATAGAGCAAAAGAGACCCCAGATCCTTGCTCTGAGGCTCGGCACAGAGGCATGATCTGAGACTGCCATCTCAATGGATGTTACTGGAAAGACTCAGGGAAGGAACAGTTTCGTGTGGCATTTGGCTCAAGGCTTGATCGGGTGACGGGTGACAATACTAAGATGATAAATATATCTCACGTCTCTGTTTATTTTCTTGGCAGAACTGGATCGATCGACCTGCCAATTGGTTCTCATAACTGAGCCTATTTAAAAAATAAATAAAAAGCTGTGTAGAAGTAGGTTGTGTACATCTCAAGAAACTGAGATACACTGTCATAAATTTCAAGGGTGGCATCCTCGGCAATGACACTCCTAGAGCAGCTCAAACACATGAGACCTGAGGTAGGAAGGAGCCAGGTGCCTGAGACAAGCCCGCAGAGCTATTCTTAGCCATCCAGAGGGTGCTGGTGAAGATCTGTGGGCAGGAGATGCTTTTATTAAAAAAAATTTTGAAAATAACTTAATGATTTTACTAGCAAGGAACCCAACCCTGGTGGTTGTTACTTCATGCTGTTTCCAAGTCCCTGTCCTTAATTGGCCAAGGTCATGATTTACTTCTGACCTTTTGGCCACTTCTCATGCCAGAGTCGATGTTTCCAGCTAAAAAGCTGCAAAACACACACTGCATGCATTAATCACCGTACTTAAAGCGGCAACTGACAGGACGGGAATGGGGAAATGTGCTCTCTTAACTGCATCCTTTACACTGCAAAGCAAAAGTCTGCCTTGCTTGACTCAGCTTATTTGGAGCATAATGACAGATAATGTCAAGAGGGCCAACTGCTCCAAAGAGGCTTTAAAACTCTGAGTCAGACCAAAGGGTGACTCCTCAAAGGCCGAGCCTTCCCGAGTGCCTGCAGGAGGCACCAGAGCAACTCACCCCTCCCTGTGTCTTCTCTTCCTTCCTTGCTGTTGTGGCAAATGGCACAAAATGAAATGGAGTCAATTTCAGTGGTGGTCAATCTCAGGGACTGCAGAGATGACATTAAAAATACTTAAAAAACAAAAGCCAAAAAACTGGAAAGGCAGAAGCACCCATCAGGCAGGACCCCTGGCCAGCGGTGGCTCATGCCGAGCTTTGGAGGCTCCCTCTGTGCCAGGCAGGGACCCTGATGAAGAGACAATGGAGAGGGGGGCAGGAACCCCAGGCCAGGCGAGCCAAGTGGCGGCAGCAGCTACTCACCCAGTGAGAAGGTAGCCTCACCTCACTATGTAATGATCTGTCTGAACCTCTGCTAGGGTGGGTGTCCCTTATTAAATGACGTGAAAAATATCATCGAGCCATTTTAGCATGAAGACTGTCCATTTGAAAGCATGTGTGAAACTGTCCTCTTGGTGGAAAGGAACAACTCAACAGTTTACATGTAGCAGGGTTGAAGTGGAAGAACTTACATGAAGGTGGTGTCACTCTTCTAGGAAGGGCCAGGGTAAAAGACGGCCTCAGGGAGAGCCCCAGTCCAGAGGAGCTATAGGAGCACCTGGGAGCACAGCCATGGCAGGTGGAGCTCATATCACCTGCTCTGTGCACACCGGCACCTGGGAAAGCCCTGGAGTCCCGTCCTCCAGCAGAGAACAGCAGCCTCCTGCCATGCCACCTCTCTGCAGATCCCTGCCTCCCTCTCCTGGGGCTGCACATGGTCCCTGCCTCACGGGAGTCCTACCGTCTGGCTTGCCAGGGCCAATGACATATGCATTTGTCAGAGTGTGATTTTAAGAAAGAACAGAGAGATTAATTAGAATGAATCATGAATAGTCCTCCTCCCTGTTCTAAAAGCCTTAGTGTTTTATTACTGAGATCATCATATATATATATGTCATAGAAATATTGAGCTGTAGGTCTAGAAGGCTCATGAAAAATTCAGCCTAACCTCTTTATCTTACAGCCTACAGAACTGAGAGAAGCCCAGAAAGATCGAGTCACGTGACCAAGGCCTCATGGGCAGGCAGGGACAGGGCAGGACTATCAACTCTCTTGACTCTGAGCTCAGGGCTCCTAGGGATGGCAGAGAGACCAAGGACAGGGTGGTGCCCAGGAGGTGTTACAGATAGCAGTCCCTTTGACAGCGGCTGCTGTAGCAAAATCACTTGCAAAGACGTAGCACAGAGTTTCCTTAAGGGGTCCTCAGCTGACTCCAGTACTGATACACAAAACACGTGTGACAGTGCAGGCTGCATTTGCAGTGACAGGGAGCAAGCAAACAGCATCTCACCAGCTCTTCCTCCGTCTCCACCTGGGGGCTGCTGCAGTGGATTTTTATTCCAGAGAGTGTAACTGGGGCCTCATGTTAAACCAAAGTTCTTCATTTCTATGTTGTCTGTATTACCCACAGAGTATCTTACCGTCCTGTTTTCCTCAAAGTCTTCCACATTTATTGTTCAAATGGATCCTTATCCAGAAAAAGACTCCTCCTTCATATAAGCAGAAAGACAAATATTTGGAACTGCTTCTAATTAACTTTCCCTTGAGATGAGTCGGGACGTTCCATGCCACATGTCTGGGGACTTCCAGGGAACTCAGGAAGGATGAGGTGCCAGAGGTCCCTCTGAAGAATCTGGCTCAGGTTGAGAAAGGGTTGCGGTGAACTTGCTGACCACAATGACAGGCGTGGCCCTGCCTGCTCTCTGGGTGCTGTGGCGAGCGACGGAGTTCACGCCTTCATCAACAACCATGTTTAGTTTTTGTCATTGTTCCCTTCTGCATCTTTCTAGCCACATTTTGCAGTCACCACATGGAGCAGGCAGCTCGTGGAGAAGCAACAGGGTCAGGATGCAGCTAATTGTCCCAGCGCTGGTGGAACCAGTGACTCCTGATGATCGGGATAAACTGGGAAGTAGACAGACACCTGCCTGCTTCTAGTGGAGAAAAGACTCTCTGGGGCAGAGGCGAGAGCGGAGGCCCTGTCAAGCGAGGGCTAGGGCTCTCAGACCCCTCAAGCCCGTTGTACAGAATAGGTCACAAACCCTTCACATGCAGGCCCGTGAGCTAGGTAACAGGGAAAGATCCCGGGAGCTGTGGGTAAAAAATTAATAGGCTTTATTCAGAGCTAGGAGCAGCCGGCCTAGTGATCTCCCAGAGAGTCCTGAGAAGCGGGGGTGGCAGGCCCTGTGTAGCAGAGCCATTAGTCCTTTATACTCAAGTCCATAACCCAGGACACCTGGGTGTACATATGCAATTACATTAGTCAATAGCCAAGGAACACCTGGGTGCATGTGGGTATTTACATCAAATGCTCAGAAAGATTTTGAACATCTGAGAGGCCCTGACCATTTTCCTATATTTTCCCAACAGGCCCTCTCACCAAAGCAACCGTATGCTTCTTCTGCCAATTTGGGAGAAGGAAGCAGAGCCCTGGCGATCCAGAGGCAGGAAACGCAAATTAAGCCTCGCTCAGGATCGGGGACACCTCGGCAAAGCAAGCCTGAGAGCTGAGGGCAGGTGCCAGAGCTTCATCTCAACTAGGAGCAAGGCCAGGCTCACAGGGGGCACATGAGAAGATACCGAATTATTGTCAGTGACTGATTTCTTTAGGGAGCTTATCAAAAGAATTACATGTCATATTGGTTAAAATTTTAAGAGACAATTCCTTGTCATTGTTTATGATGAAAGTAAACAATGTATTATTTACTGTATTATTTACAAATAAAATTGTATTAATTGTATTCATTTTGTATCATAAACACACATCCCTTATTGCTCTGATTACAGGAGCACATTATGCTACCACCACCTGGTGGCAGCGTACCTAAGTACAGACTGCAGTTTGGGGTAGGAGATAAATTCTTTAAAGGTAGATTCTGTGAGGCTGAATACAGTAAATGACAGCAAATATCACAGTAGGATGAGCTACGCGGTTTGACGCAGGAGCAACACAGGGGACGTTAGTGATGCCAGGAACCAATGGAGTTCCAAGCAATGTGTCCATCCGACACAAGAGGGCGCTCTATTGGTTTTTCTATGGGCTCCACCAATCAGATTTTCTTTCCTCTCCTTTGGTCTCCCGTCTCTTACTGAAAACAGCAGTTACTATAACAAGTACTAACTGCTGTCTGAGGAGCAGAGCAATTCAGATTTTTTAAATGTCACATCCCTGATAAACAGGGTCAATGCCGTGACCCATCAGGGATTCGAGATCTATTCACCATGCCCCGAAACCCCAGCTACTCACCCAGGTTGTACCACATGTCTCTGATTTCAAAGCCAATCTGTCTCCTCATGTCTCCATACCTGGAAACCAGGGAAAGGAAATGCTGAGTCACTCGATAGAGCACTGGAGGATCAGACTTGAATTATTTTTAAGTGCAATTAAAGTCTCCCATCAGTGAGTCAAATAAAGAGAGTGTCAAACTTCTTGTGCCATCAACAGGAATCAAAGGAGGCGGAATCCAGCCAGGGGAATCTCACTTTCTCATCACCGCAGCTTATGTAACACCCTCCCCTGTGGGGACATGAGTAATGAGAGCATTTTCCCTTCTTCACTCTCTTGGCTCCTGGGCCCAAGGGGGAGCTTGTTTTCCCCGCGTGTTGTTGGCCGCTAGAAACCGCAGACACCAAATAACTCCCTACCGCATGCAATAAACAGCTTTCCTATATTAAAATTAAACCTGGAGTCAGAGGAGGCCTCTTCCAAATGTCACGCCTTCTTCTGTATCATTTTAAATGTAAGGAAGGGCTTAGCACCAAAAGATGTCAACTAATATTCCACTGTTTTTGTTTATCAGGGAAAATAAATGCTAATTTTCCTCCCGGTGGGTGAACACAGGAGGTGTGTGTTTCATGAGTAAACAGAATTTGATGCTTCAGAAGATAAACCTTTATTAGTTTGTGAGCAATTTAACTTTTTCCTTTATTGCCTAAGGAAAAAGCTGATTATATTAAAAATAATAATTTGCAAAATTATCATACAATTACAACTGAGCGGCTGTGCCGTCGAGCCTGATCTGCACATCCTTGTGTCAGCAGATGTGAAAAGGAACGCTCTGATTACAGATGACCACATTGTGGCTCTTCAGGCGAAGATCTTGGCTGGTAGATCAACAACCCCAGCCTGCTGCCACCATATTATAAAAGTCTCTGGTGCCCTAAGTAGCTGTCTGTCACTCACAGCAGGAGAGGGCTACAGCAGGTGTAATAATCTCAAGGGGGAAAATATATCTCACCTGGCAGTTGTGCCGTGGCATGCAAGAGACCCAGTGCCTGGGCCCACAGCACAGACAGAGAAACTCCCTACCAGGACAAGCTAGTCCTCCAAGGTCAATGTGCTACTTACAAACCCAGCCCAACAACCAGGTGAACGCTGAGAATGACGGGGGCTGTCAGCTGGGGAATGGGCCCATCAGCAAGGCCACGGTCACTGAAAATGCACCAGCAGCAAAGCTACTGGACCCAAGTTCATGGGTGACTGGCAAGCACCCTTCGATGTATAAACTGCACCCCAAATTGCCCAAAGGACTTACAACCTGGAGGCTCTTGGTGCCGGTTTCCTAATTCCTATTTTGCTCCTGCACAAACGACAAAGGGATCCCAGCTGTGCAGGTGGATGGTCTCCTTCCAGCCAAGCAAACATCAGGCAAGCCTGGGGACATGGCATTGGAGGGAGGTGGCCACCCTTCCGGCCCCTGCCACCGTGTATTGAGACCCTCAGCACAGTAGCAGCACAAGCCCCGGAGGCAGTGCACATGGCTGACGGTGCATCAGCCTTTCGCTTATGGACCAACTCGTGCATCCCACACTCATCTCACACCCAAGTGACAGAATTCCTTCTCCTGGCATAACATCTCTCAAAAACTAAGAACCCCTAAGGTGAGGCTGATCTTCATCGGGGTCTGTGCCTCTCTGACCCCTGACAACTTTTTCTCTCGAGTCTTATGTTGATGAGAATTACAATGATTCTATGTTTCCGAAAGTTCAGAAATTTAAGTCCAACTGATCCTCGGCAGCAGCAGGTTTAACAACTGCTATTGGGTCATTTGGGAGTGACCCAAGGTAGTGACTGACCATTTCTCCAGAGCTGGTGCTGGATCTGGATGTGGGGAGGCGGCATAAGGAAAGCGTGCCAAGCCCAAGAGCCACGCCATCCCCCGCTGTCCCCTGCCACCCCGTCGCCCCCGTCTCTCCCTGCTGCTTCTCGGTGCCTCCACTTCAGGGGCTGAAGGAGGGTGAGGGGTGAGGGGTTCACATTCTCAGTCACACTTTCCTGTCTTCTAGGAGGAAAGCGATGTGCCTTGGTATAGTTGAGAAGTGGAGGATTAGCAAGGACCTGAGAGCACACTGCTCATGAGTCAGGCCTATCACATGAAGGTGCTAAAAATACCGTTTTAACAGTCAAATGAGACAAGGGCGCTCAAGCCTGGGACAAAGGTGACAACAAGGAACAAGGAGCTGGAAGGTGAAGGGCGAGACTGGATTTCCTTGGCAGCAAGATTGATCTTTTCTGTAGTCTTAATAAGAAGGCAGCTTTGATGAATCTATACATGCCTCAGAGCAGTCCCCAAATAGAGTTGCAGCTGTCACCAGACCTCAAGAGGCTTCCCAAACCATTTCTCCATTCTTCCCGTGGAGGAGAAAAATGCTAATAATTGAGAGTGTCTGGCTAATGCTCATTACCTGGAAATCGAACTCCTGAGCTGGGGGCAACCTCAGAGATCATAACTAAGTTCCCCTCCAACAATGTGGAGCTGAGGGAACTGGACTAGTCCTAGAAGAGACCATGGTCACAGGGCCAGGAGAGGAGAGAATCTGGGTCTTTGGACTCCCAGATCCATGCTGTCCCCCACAGCACATACCTCCATGCCTCCAGTACCAGCACGCACCTCCGTGACCTTGCAGCGTGGCACAAAGCACACTGGCTTCATGTGACTGTCACAGTGAGACCAGAGGTGCAAGCAGATGCAGCTGTGGCCCCTGCTCCAGTGAGGACAGTGGTGGCGCTGAGCCAACATGCCTGACCCTGCAGAGCCAGAATGGCACGGGCTGGGGTTGCCTGGCTCTGCCTGGCATGTCCCACCACGCCAGTTCACCTGTGCCCACCCACAAAGTGAGTGAACATACAAATGTATGCTCAGGAGCCACCTTTCCACCATGCAGCCAGAGCTGGGATCCCACATCCAGGCTATGATCCTCACATAAAATAGTGTGAATTTAGTCTCTGTGGCCTCACATCAGCACCTGGTGTCCTAAATCATCATCCCAAGAAACAGAAAACCCACGTCCTCCAGAGACAGCCCAGGCTTGGGTGTAAAGGCCAACCTGAGCCCGAATCCAAGCACACTGGGTAATTTACTCGACCACTCTGACCCTCAGGCTCCTCCACAGCAGTACCAGAATAATAACGCATGATGCTAATCTCCGAGGCTTCTGAGAGCGATGGGAGGTGGCGCCCCCGTCTATCCTAGCAAGCATTCCAGCCCCACTGGGTCCTTCCTTTAAAATCTCAGACTGGGCCACAACACAGCATCTCCCTCCTGGTCATTTAGGTCGATTCACTTGGTGGGCATTTTCTCAGCACTTAGGCCAGACACAGAGCTAATACGGGACTATGAATATCGGGATAGAAACGTTAATATAATATGGAGAACAGACGAGACCCACAGGCCTCAGGGGGCTATTACCATGGTAGGAGAAATAGACAATTAAAGAATCACACAAGATTTTAAATATATACACATACACATGTACACATATACATATATAGCTGGGGAGATATAAATACACACACACACACATATATAGATAGATAGATAGGTAGATAAATAGGGCTGTTTTTGAAGGCTGTAATCATGGCTTTTTAGGAAAAACCATGAAAGAAGTGGGAGAATTTAACAGCAGACACGGGCTGCTCTGGCAGCAGTTCTCTGGGAAAGTAACATTTGCCCAAAGATTTAAAAAGGAGGGGTATAATCCAGACAAAGAGGGGAGGGAAGAGCACTCCAGGCAGCAGGAGCAGCAGGTGCAAAGGCCCCATGGCAGGGAGAGAGTACGTGAGTACACTGACCAAAGAAGACAGTGTGGTCAGAGGACAGAGAGCTGGCTCCTTCTCTTTAAGTGACCAAGGGAGGTTGTGCTGTGAGCAGAGGCAGGTTTTTATTTTTTTAAGTTTCAAAATCTTTTTGAACTAGAAAACATGTTTACTTTATTAAGCAGCACACGTATTAATATATGTATATAAAAGTTTTATGAAATAGCACTTAATCTTACTACCTACAATAAACTGTGATCTTTTCTATTTCCCTGAAAAAAAAAAAAAATGTTGGTCATGACTGCTGTGAGATGAATCGTGTCCTCCATAAAGAGTCCATATGTTGAAGTCCTAACTCCTGGTATCTGTGAATGTGACCTTATTTGGAAAGAGGGTCTTTGCAGATGTGATCAAGTTAAGATGAGGCCATGCTGGATTCAGGTGGGCCCTAAATCCAATGACCGGTGTCCTTATAAGGACAGTGAGATTTAGAGACCCAAGGAAGACCCTCATGTGAAGTCAGGGGCAGAGATTAGAGTTATGTAGCCACCATCCAAGGAACCAAGCACTGGAGACCATAACCAGGAGCTGGGAGAGAGGCACAGAACAGATCGTCCCTCTGAACCTCCAGAAGGAGCCAACCCTGTCAACATCTTGATTCCAGACTTCTGGCCTCCATTACTGTGAGACAATACATTTCCATGGTTTCAAGCTGCCCAGTGTGTTCACTGTTATGGTAGATTGACCTAGGAAACTAAGACAGTGACCTTTCTTTAAGTTGACATCTGGCCCAATAAAGGGTTGAGACCCACAGTTTGAAAAATTCTTTCTTAAGAAGAGAAAATAGAATGAGCAGGGCTGAGGTTACCAAGATGCGGGGCTCCAAACATGTCATGTTTGGGTGCAGGAGAGAGACTGACAAGAGAACAAAGACCAGAAAGCTCAGAGAAACGCCTAGAGTGGAGCTCAGAGAGCGCAGGACAGAGATCGCCCTCAGGCAGAGGGAAAAATCAGCAGCGTGGAAGGAAGAAAGTTCAGAGGGCTGAACACAGCCCCCATCCCTGATAGTGCCTGGGGACAGCGCTGACCTGGCTGGAGGTGGTAGATGAGGTGGTAGATGAGTGGGTGGAAGGTAGGGACATGAGAGGGGGAAAGGGCGGACAGGGAGGGGGCTGAAGGGTGGGAGAGACTGGCGGGCTCCTGGAGAGGTGAGAAGGGATGGGACCCCAAATGGGCTCAATGGGACTAAACTCTGTTAGTCACAGGTCTGACGTGACAGCGTCCGACCTGCATCGACCTCGATCATGCTCAACAGGGCATGCATGACATCACCAAGGCACCAGGACCCTTGATTCACTTTTCCAGCATGAAGTTGGCACAGGGTAACCACTTGTTAAGTCTACCTCCCTGGGGCCCCTTCTAATTCTTAAAGTGAATTTATTTTGAATAACATGAATCTCTTGAAAAGAAAAATTAGCACAGACACTAATTAAATTGATCATATTTCTCATTTCGCTATAATCTGGAAACTACTACTGCAGCTTCTGATAGGTCACACTGCAAAATGGGGCTTGTCACAGTGTATTTCTTTCTTTTCAGGTGCCCTAGAAAAGTCATGTCTGTAGATTGACTTTTAACACACTGGTGTTTGAGCCGTGTTTGGTAAGATGGGGATAGTTTTATGTGGTATTTTGGTCCAGTTGTGCATCTTTTCCTCTTAGAAGGTCACAGGCTTCTATAGTTTAAACAACAAAAAAAGTAAGACAGCCTGGAGACCACGTGGGGAAGGGTCTGTGTGAGGGGTGGTCTCTGCACGCAGTTCAAATGCCTTGAGTTGGGCTGCACCGTCCCCTCTGTGACTGTTAGGAGGGTGGGAAATCCTTTTATGGTAATTGCAAGGTGGGGCCCTGAAGAGGTGATTAGACTGTAGGACCACGCCCTAGTGAATGGATTAATAACGGTGGTCAGGGGCGTGGTTCTGAGGGCTTTAAAAGGAGAGTGCACAAAGGTGGGGCCCTGAAGAGGTGATTAGACTGTAGGACCACGCCCTAGTGAATGGATTAATAAGGGTGGTCAGGGCGTGGTTCTGAGGGCTTTAAAAGGAGAGTGCACAGGGACCTCTCTCTGCTCCTCCATTTCTGCCATGTGAGACCCCAGGATCACTGTTGCCACCACCAAGACACCAGGTGTGTTCCCTGGACTTTGGACTTCCCAGCCTCTGAAACTGTAAGCAATAAATTTCATTTCCTTATAAATCACCCAGTTTCAGGTATTTATAAGCTGCAGAAATAGACTAGTACACTGGGATTTCCACTGTTCTGAGCCACAGTGCAGTGGACCAGGCAGAGGTGAGCAGCTGCAGGTCTTGGCAGGGAGGAAGGGGACGGTGGGCTGGGGGTGGGGGAACCTCCCACTCAGATGCCTTTGGTTGGGTTCGCAAACCCTAGACCCTAGATTAGCAGACAGGCCCATACGGAGATAGTCCTGAGGCTACTAAATGGGTGTGACATGGGTCTACCTTCAGACCCCCATGGGCATTTCCTTGGAAAGAGACAGGCACACGCATGCCACTCCACCGTCAGCACCTGCTGTTTGCTCAGAGCCCTGGGGTTAATGCCTGTGTCACTGGCCTGTCATGCCCTGTCCCAAACTCCCAGCTCCCCTGGCCCCCGGCCCTGCTACTCCCTTCAACAGCCATGTCCTTTGGGCCTCAAGGTTCCCTTTTGGACTGGCTGATTGCTGAGTCCCGGTCCCCACTCCATGGACACCCCCTGCACTCATCACTATTTTTGCTTCTCTGCCTGTCCCATGAGAGACTATGAGCTTCTTCACCAGGAGACCCGCACCTTATCTCTCTGTCCCTTGCACCAGGACCACAGACTGAGCACAGGGTAGGCACTCCAGCCCTCTTTGCTAGGCAATTTTAAACAAATCAAAACATTTCTAGGCACTGTGTGTGCCAAGAAAATTTAAGCGTTTGGAGAGGATGTTTTAAAATTTTATAAAGTGTTTAAAGCATATCAAAAAAAAGCATGAAGAATACAATAAACACGAATGAGTCATCCATGCAGCGTGTGCCACATGGCTTCGCGGGTCAAGACAGGTTTATTCAGACATGGAGAACACCTTGTCCTTGATCGCCTGTCATTGCCACATGCCGAGTCCACAGCCCTGGAGAGGCCCTGCAGAATGCACAGGGCCCTGAGGCTGTCCTGCCAGAGTCTTGCAAAGACAACTTCTGACATGCTTGGGGTTTTTCCTTGGGGAAATGCATAAGAAAATGTGAAAGAGGGAAACCCAGTCTCTTCCTGCTGCAGCTGGGAGAGAGTAAGCACTAAAGGACCATTCGGAGGTCCTGCCCGGCTCGTGCAGCGGAGACACCAGCTGGCTGTATCTAATTTTCCTTGGCTTTGAAGCCTCTGAATCCACACCGCTATGTGGGAAGGAAATGTGTTCTTTGGCAGCCGCGAGGCCCTGCTCAGTTAATGCATGTATTGATGTTGCTTTATCTTAGGTTGTTAACACTCCCAGTGACAAGAGGAAGGGCCCAGGGCACAGCTACCCTTCCCTGGCCGGAAAGTGTTCGGCATCAAATTGTTTTACTCTAAAAACCGTGAAGAAGATGCCAGCCCTTATAAGGCAGATTTCCAGTTCAATTCACCTGTGTTCTCCTGCAGGCATCTGCAAGGCTAGCGAGCGCAGCAAGCTTAGCAAAGAATGGGTTCTGAAGTCAGCTGAAGCTGGGTTTGGATCCCGACCTCACCACAAGGTGAGTCCTGCCCACGAAGGCAGGTGATTCCACCTGCTGCACCAAGCTTGCCTTAGGGCAGGATACCAAAGGCCTGGGCTTCGCGCAGCACTGAGTGAGCGATGCTGTGCTGCGCTTAGAGCGTGCTGGTTAGTATGTTTCTAGACAGCAATTTCCACCAGGAGAGCATTTAAACAACAATGACAGCAGCGACCCTAAGCAGCCATCCCTCACTTCCTACAGGCCCCGAGGGGATGTAAATTTCACAAAGCGCGAGCATCTTGTCCCCAGAAGATGCAGCCTGCAAAAGTCCGTCTCTTGATGCTCTGAGCCAAGGCTCCGGGAGGCAGGCTGCGCCTGTGCTGCCCACTCCTGCAGTCACAGCTGGGGCACCCACTCTGTCTACCCCATTCTCAGTGCTTGGCTCGGTAACTGCATTTTTCTTTTCTGAACAAGGATCACTGTCTTCTCACTGGCTATTAGACACGAGTCACCTGACGGAGCACAAAGGAAAGATGGCCAAGTGAAAGTTGACTTTTAGTTAGATGGGCACAGACCAAAGGCTTGAAAGTTTTAAAAGCAGCACAGGTTGAAATCTTGGGCTCTGAACTGCCTGCGTTAGAATACTGCTCTGCCACATTCTGGGTGCGGGACTGGCCAGGTGCCCGGGTCACTCTGTGCTTCTCCTTCCTCATCTGCGAAGTAGGAATGATAAGACCTAATGCAAACTTTTGCTTTTTGATGATTATATGTAAAAAATGCACATGAAGTGCTCAAAAAGTCACTGGCACATAGAACGTACTCAGTGAATTACCTGCGGAAGTAATTCTTACTCTCCAGGGATACTGTGCTTTGGATTTGCCCTGCAAGAGAGATGCACACTCTCAGAATGTGAGAAAGGCTGATCTGCTGCCACCTTCTGAGACCCCCTCCGGAACCTCTAACCTCAGTGAGCAGCAGGGAGTTGGCAAAGCCTTGGAGCAGTCAAGGTCTGGCAGAGGTATTACAAAAAGGACAGCCAGGAATGGAAGGCTTGGCAACACGGGGGCAATTTCGGAACTCTTCTCAAGAGTGTTTATGAAAGGGGCATCTGGAGGAGTGAGAAATACGTGCAACTGAAGCAGAAATAGGAGGCAAGACCTTCAAGGTGCCCACATATTGATTGGCAGGAAACCCATTAACAGTTTGTTCGTTGATCTGGACCAGGAGCAGCGCAGGATGCAGATGTGGCTGCAGAGCTAGAGGAGTGGGCAAGGGCATTGGCCTTCACGCAGCTTGAGAGAGGTTTGCTCACAACCCACATATTGATTGGCAGGAAACCCATTAACAGTTTGTTCGTTGATCTGGACCAGGAGCAGCACAGGATGCAGATGTGGCTGCAGAGCTAGAGGAGTGGGCAAGGGCATTGGCCTTCACGCAGCTTGAGAGAGGTTTGTTCACAATAGCTCAAGGGGCTGGCTCAGTGCATTCAACTCTACCCAGGAGACAGAGGTTATCCATTGCCAAGAAGGAAACCACCGAGGTCTCTAACTCCACGATGAGTTGTGCAACAGTCCCAACAGTGCCAACAGCTTTCATCAGAAGTTTCTTTTTCAGAAGCAGAATTGGAGAATTAAGCAGTAAACCACATGTGGAATGACATCAGAATAGTGTACAGCAAAAGTAATTATCTCCAGAAACTCAAATTCTGTGTTGCGCTAATAGTCTTGAATTGCACGGACTTTGAACTTACCAGGATGAATCCTGCAATTTTAGATCTCCATTCATGGGTTAGAAAAGGCAACAGCTAATTCATGATTCAAAACCACCCTTTCATTACACTGTGATTACATCTCAATTTGTACCAAGTTGGCTTTAGAGACTACATGAAAATTATGCTAATGGAGTTGGAGGCTCCTGCCCGTGGTTTCAGAGCTGGACGAGGACTTACTTGTTAAGGATTTTGGCTCTCTTAGCACTTGAAAAATTCTCCAGTTGCAAGGACTCTTGAGTAAGAAAAGCAACAGCCAGGTGAAAGTAGTTGTTCCACAGCTGAAAACCAAAAAAGGGGAGATGCTAAGTCATTGAACAGCTGAATACAGGATCTCACAAATGCTCTGAGACATTTACCATGTGCTCAGCACGCACTTCTGAAATGTTTTAAAAACCACACTCACTACATACAAATTACTAGGCAGCCACCCATGGTGTGGTGCAGTGCTGAGCATGTGGGCTCTGGGGTCACAGTGCATATATTCAAATCCCAGCTCTGCAGTTTACTCAGGCAACTAATCTAAGCCCCCTCTGTGCCTCAGTTTCCTCCTTGATAAAATGGGAGTTTCAGTAGTATTTACCTCATAGGGTTGGTGGGAGTTCACAGGGGTAAATATATGCAGAGCCTTTTAGGTGGTGCAGAGCATGTGACAAGCAGTTCATCATAAATGTTAACTTTATTAGCACATGATGGAGCCCCTTAAGAATAGTATAGGTTTCAATAGTTCATATGTTTTATTATATCAAAAATCCTACATACCCTATACAATTAAGGAAAACAGACATAAAAAGATCAAATGTTTCATATTTCAAGGGATTAAGAACTACATATGGTTTAAAAGACAATGGTCTTTAGAAGAAATCTGTGGGTGTTGGTTTCCTCATTTACAAACCAGGGGTAATATTTATCATATCATATAACATAGTTGCATAGTGTTACTGTAGGGAAAGTGAAGACAAATGGTCAGGGTCCCTCAGATGTCCAGAATCTTGCATGTGAGGGGTCTGGTGACCCAGCCTGGCAAGTGGGGGGGTCTGTGACCCAGTCTGTACAATGGGTTTGAAGGGTCTGTGAGCCCTGGCCCCAACCCTTAGCAAGACAATTGGCTATGTCGGCAGGATTCCAACAATTGCACTAACGTAGTCAGACAGTTACCATGAATGAATATTTTTAATTACCTGTGAAGTAAGTGGGAATTTAAGAGCATTTATGGCATTTCAGTTAGGAGTATGTTGGGCGTCCATTTATCCGACACTTCTTATGAATGGGGCACTTTCTATAGTGACACACCAGCTCACTGAATGGCCACAGAACTAACCAAGCAGATGCTGTGACCCCCATTTCACAGGTGAGATTCAGAGACTTGCCCAAAGCCACAGGGAGCAGGTGAAACAGCGCGAGGGTCGGAGCCACACGCCCCCAACCTCAGAGCTCACACTCCTTCACTGCCCACAAAGGCACTTTCTTTTTTGGCCTCTTTTATAATAAAAGGGGTGGCTCCAGTTAATAAAATACAAGTGGTTCCTTTTCTTTCATTCTTGGAACGAACCCCTCCTACCTATGGCCTCTTTGTGACAGCACTGGCAAGAGTCCCTGGCCGCTGTCAGCCATGTCTCAGAATCACAGCTGGGCCCAGCAAGAACAGCACCCAGAACTGCATGGACCCAGAACATATTGTAATTTATACCTGCTGCCTTTAAAACAACAACAACAACAACAACAACAAAACGCATAAATGCTTCTTCTTAAAAGGCAGTTTCGCTAACTCCTTATTCCTTCTTTTCATTTATGTGACCAGCACTATGGTTGAGCCAGAAGCATTCATAGTGGTGGTGGTGGTTTTTAAAGGCAGCAGGTATAAATTACAATACATTCTGGGCCCATGCAGACATGGGTCCAGCTCTAGTCGGGTCCTTGACCATGATTCTCAGAATGTAGCTTACAGTAGACAGTGATTCCTGCTAAACCCTCCTCAAACAACAATAAATATGTATGTCACACCTGCCATGGGGCAAAGCTCTAGAGAACTAAAGAGCACATTGGTGTTAAGGTGTATGAGCTCAGGGTGAGAGTCCAGGGGACCATACTCATGAAACAATAAAAAAGAGTAGTGGTAACCAGTGCTCTGGGAAAAAGGATCCCACGCTTATAGCAGCCACAGTTAAAATACACAGGAATCTGTCCAGCAAGTCAAGTGCAAGGCTGATACAGACAAAACTAAAAAAACTAATGAAAGATACAAAAAGACCTAAATATTCCAGGATGGGGTGGGAAAAATAGACACTGCAAAGTATCCCCTCAAATACTATAACATTTCCCCCATATTTATTTATAAATTCAACAAAATTCCAATTAAAATCCATGCAGCATATTTTAAAAGAGATTCAACTAAGCTGATTTTAAACTTCATATGGAAGAGGAAACACACAAAAATAGCCAAGATAATTTTGCAACAGAGGACTAGAGCGGACGTACTGACACTCCCAGCTCATAAAGGGGTGACAATTAAGCCACTATGGCAACAACTCAGAAAATCGAAATGATACACACAAACACTTGCAATTATGTTAATTAACAATGGCATTTCAAATCACTGGGGAAAGACGACTCTATTCATGAAATGATGTAGGGAAAAATGATGTTAGACCCTTACTCCTAACACTAGCTATAGAAATCCCAGATGAATTAAACACCTGAAAGAAAAAAAAAAAAAAAAAAAAAGCAGAACAGTAAAGGAATTAGCAGATTCTAACAACATACGAAATAGCTAAATTTATAATAGTGAGATAAGGAGGGATTTGCCAAGCAAAACATAAAACCAAATAGCCATAAAAGAAATGACAGATTTGACTACAGAACAATATTTCTGTACAATAAGCCTAAAACCATGACTAGGTTATATCAAGAATTCCAAACTTAGAAAAAAAGACAAATAGTTCAATAGAAAAATGAGCAGAGGAAATGATCCGTTTATGACAGGAATCCACACAGCAGCTAAGTATCCTCAGCCTATGTAGTCATCAGAAAAGTGCCAATAAAAACAAGAATCAGCAATATGAAATAAATTGCTACTGGAGAAGGTTCTAGAAAGTGGGTACTCTCAAAGAAAGGCTGGCGGGATTGCAAATTGCTAAAGCATTTTAGGAGGGCAATTTATCATTGTCCATCATACTTAACATTTCGTCCACTTGGCCACGCAGTCAACCTATTCTACAGCAATGCACGCACTGAGATGCACCTGGGTCAGACCCTGTGCAGTAGATGCCCTGTGAGGCTGAAAAACCAGAACGAGCCTATCGGTCATCGTGCAGAAATGGCTCAATACATTGGCACCTGCGTACTGTGTAATACAATCAAAACGGAAAAACAGTATGGTCCAATTCACGTTGAGAGCCAAAAGAAAACATGCACAGGCCCATGTACATGCTTAAAGTGTCAGAAAAGCACCCAACAACTGGTTAAAAGTTACCCCTACAAAGGGAAAATGAGAGAAGTGAAAGGCAGCATTTCATATTTTACTTGACGTGCTGATTTACAGTGCATGAGTATTTTTGTGACAGATGAAAACAAGCATTAAGCAGAAAAAATGATAAATTAAAATTATAAAAACAAACATTTCTAGATGTACAGTGCCTGATGTATTAGTATATATAGTATATAATTATTTTCTATAATGCCGATAAGATATAAATTAAAAATTAAGAAATTATAAAAGAAATAAGGGCATAGGTGCCTTAGCACTTAATCTAATACACTGTCACATTAGCTGTAATTTCCTGGAGGCAGTGCAAACGGGAAAGTGAATGAGTGTCTAACTGTTGTTATCTGGTCACGCGTTTTTGGGCTGGATCACTCACTGGGTGTCCATAAACTCTTCAGGTTCCTTCTCAGTGAACAGTCTTGTCCAGGAAATAAACATGCTATTTGCATCTAGATGCTTTTGTCATTTGCAAACTTCAGTAAAATTAAGTAATAATAATGACAAATAAAATCATCATTAGCAGAAACACGTCCAGAGTACAATGGAACTGAGAACCGCAAACTGAGAGCCAAATGCATAGCAAGAAATCATGCCAGGCAGAATCAATCCTTAAGATGCGTGCACACGCGTGCACACACACACACAATATGCATGCACTGAAGTAGCATTTCTGCAACTGATGGACCAGCCCATGGCAACCCTGGGGTCTGGGGAGGAGGGTCTTTGGCCTGGTAAAGGCCACTGGCGGTAGCACAAAGCCGGTGGAGGGGAAAACAGATCTGAAAGCAAGTGGAGCCCAGTGATGCCCACCCGCTTCTGCTCCTCAAGCTGCTCCTTTCCTCTCCACATTAGGAGGGTCTGAGACAATCTTGGCAGCCACACACTGAGACCCAGTGGTCTCGCTGCTCGGACAGTCCCTCCTTGTCACTCTGATTCAGTAGCTTCTCTCTGAAACAACTCCATCTCCTCCCCTAAATTAAGCAAATACCCTGAAGGCATAATGTTCCTTCCTCGGGTTCCAACAGTACATACTGTAAGTTTTATTTCCACACCTTGGATGGAAGACCAATTAAGGATTAGAAACATAAGATATTGGCACAGACCAGCAATTTGTTTTAACATGATTTCTCTACTAAGGTCGTGTCTACCTCTTCTCTTACCTGTAGCTCAAAGTTGGCTTGATCCAGGAATTTTTTGTTCAGCATATCTGCATACTGATTAATTGCTCGCAGGAAGACTCTGAAAGATCAAGAGAAAATTACATAATTACACACTTATGCTCTGGCACCTTGGTAGGTTTGGCATTTCAATTAGACACAACCCCAGACTGTCTGGAATGTGAACTCTCCAAGTCCTGTGCAAAACTGTGAGGTTTTGCCAATGAAAAGCCACAGAGTTATATGTGGATGTTCTCCGAATTAATCAAGGAAATTAGCGCATGCAGAATAAAAGAAACAGACCAAAATAACAGTTTCTAAAAGTAACATTCAAAAAGTATCACTAAAAAAACTAATTAGAAAAAAAAGGTAGAAAGAAATGGTGCAAATTAAATCCTTTTCTCAAGTTGCAATGTCTTCATGTTATATTATTAAATTGGTCTTAAATTGCTTAGCTGGCTTTTAAAGTCATGCATTTGAAAGTGCTCTTACACAGAAGCTACCAGGCTTGAGATGGTTTGCTGTGACATTACCAAGCCTAGAAGTAAGGCTTATTTCAGCATCATTTGTCCTATACTCCACACGTTAATTTTGATCACTGTTAACTTGTTTAAAGAAAATTTAAAAGCTTTAGTAGAAAGTGGTCTGACAAAAATTTTATCAGGAATTTTAATTCCTTGATTCACTGATAATGTACAATGTTAAGTACACTCTTTAATACTTTGACCTTTACTTTTCTAAGATGAAATACGGAATTAGGGCTGTCACAAACGACTCTAGAGTACTGTCTTTCACCAGCTTGTTCATTCAGTAGATTTGTTTTATAACCCTTGAAAGTGTTTACAATAATAAAGCTTAGTCCAGCTACTTTTTAAATGGCCCTTCTCCCTGTGCACAAAGGCAGGATGGAGAAGAATTAGCATTAGGTCACAGATAATAAACTTAATTACACTTTCTCTATTTAGACAGCAGGAAGCAGCCAGAGTAGAAGGGAAATCTAGGTTACTTACTAGTAACTTCAGCTCTCTGACAACACTATCTCTTAAGCTAAGCATGCCTGGAGAATCTCCCCAGGCCCTGGCCATTCCAGAGCTGTTATTTAGACAGCAGGAAGCAGCCAGAGTAGAAGGGAAATCTAGGTTACTTACTAGTAACTTCTGCTCTCTGACAACACTATCTCTTAAGCTAAGCATGCCTGGAGAATCTCCCCAGGCCCTGGCCATTCCAGAGCTGCTGAAGGCCAGTGAACCTGGGAACAGGCAGAAGGGAGTCACCACCTGCCTCCACCACCTCCTGCTCCACACCCACTGTCACTGCAGTTCCTCTCTCACTCAGTGCTACAGCTCTAAGAAAGGGGCTTTGCAGACATCATTTCATCAGGAAAACTATCAGCTGGATCTAGGACCCACATAGGTGTGACAGGGGCCCGTGACTGTGGACAGAGTTATCTGAGTTCTTCCCTAAGGACATTAAAATATAACTAGAAAGGAGAAATTAGTGTTTTGAGTGACTATTAATAGAGGGACATGGGATCACTGTCTTGTCTATTAACCAAGAGCACAGCCTGGGCAGTAGGACTCACCAGCCCATAGGATTGCCTGATTTTGCACATAGAGGATGCCCAGTTAAATTTGAAAAACAGCTCTCATTGCTAAATTCTGTAATTGATTAAAAAAGCTGAATGCAGGACATTTAGGGCATCCTGACAAATTAATACAGGACCTAAGACAAAAATCACAAAATGCAGGCCATGCCTTATGGCTAACCAGCCATCCAGGGCTGAGCTGGGTCAGGCCCCAGAAGTATGGGACGTCATGGTCTACCTTACCCCTCTGCCCCTTGATGA